CTTTCAAAAACAATGTCTTTACATGTGTTTTATAAACCCGAATCAACCAGCCTAGGCCAATCATTAATGTGGGGGTATTGATACCCTGTTTCTTGTATTAATTTTTATTGCACAAAAAAGCAGCAAATACTGTCACTGAAGCACAGAATTGACACGTACCCCCCCCCCCCCCGGCCATTCACGCAAACTGCAAATAAAGGCTATTATCCATAGTTATTGACACATCATTGCAGCCGCCATGATGGATGAGATCTGATGGATGGATGGATGGATGGATATTTTGACTGCCGGATTCTGACCTTGCATTCTGGCTACATTTACTGTCCTTTCATACCAGTTCAATTTCCGTTTAATATTTCGTGATATTTAATATTTATTTTTAAAACCAACCTGCTTTTCACAGTCAATCCGGTTTTCACTTTTCTAAAATTATTTAACTGATCAAAAGACTTTACACTCCTACCATGCAATCCGAGTCCGCCATAGTACTTCCGCATACACAGCGACGATCACCAACATGAATACTAGAAAGAACCCTCGCACTCGGGAGCTGGGGAATAAACCAAACTGAACTAGTGTGGTGGCATTAAGACGCGAAGAAGTCCCGTTAAAACATGGCGTTATGCGTTCTTCCAAATATGGCACTGTGACACGACCGTGAATTCCAAAAACATTTTCATTGAGAGTAAGGCTAAATTAGGTTATTTAATAATCTCAGATATTCAAGAACGACGTATATCTTCGCCTGACACGGCATGGATGAAAACATCATCATTTTATAAATAGTTGTTATCATTCATTGCCAAGTACACCGTCCACCTGCGTCCATGCTATTCATAAAGACTAATCAACGCTCATCATAAATCCAAAGATCAGTTTGCGCTCATCAATCATGCGGAAACTATTTAACTGACATTGTGTAGCTAACAACTCATAGTCAATTAGTTAGTAAGTTGCTTTTAACGGTTCGATGTTAACGAGACTTCGATGATTGTGTATGGTATACAACAGGACGTCATTAAATATGATGAATGGCCAGGATTACTATGAGCAATCGGATCGTTTGCAAATCCGGAAAATATAATCCTGCGACTTTTATTACTGCATAATTACTAGAATAATTATTTTGTATAAATTTAAGGTGATCAAAACAAAAACAAATTTCAATACATAGGCACTACAAATTTTTTGTGGAGGTAAAATGATTTTTGAGGGATTATATTCAATTCTCGAGTTGTATTATTATTTTGGAAAATAATCCGGTCAAGCGTTTAGTTGTACTGAAACTGTATCCACATTGTGTATAGTGCATTCATTTCCTGATATAGGAATATTTGCTACAAAACGCGAACCTCAGTGCTGTGGTGATATAGCGCCCTCTATCGACTACTAATTTGATTTATAGATTTCAGCTGCTGGTAGTGGTGGCGCCATAACAGCGAACTGCCAGTGGCGTTGATCACGAGACTGTCCATTTATTTTAAATCATTGCTCCACACAGAAGAGTGGCATATACAGGACATACTTGTATTGTAGCCGATATGCAAAATAATTACATCCTCGCAACAACCTTGCATGTTAAAACGATGGTTAGAGAAAACTGACAGGTACAACTAAGATACAACGAGCGACAGTAAACATTGGATTGGAAAGCTGCACAAATACGTGTCACAAATGAGGTTTCCTTTTTGAACCAAAGTGTTTGAAACAGAGTACATTTTTTGAACAACAGTCTGACAACTTTCAGCATCCATAGCTAAAATTAAAATAAAAATTTTCAAAACGATAAAAGCATCGTTCAAAACACAAAAACCAAGATTTCTGGCTGAAAAACGGCGAACGTAATTTCTAATCATGTCAAAAAAAAAACTATAGTCTTTGCACAAATCTAAAAAAAAGGATATTATTTGTATTTCTGCTGTATAGAAAGGGCAGAAGTCTACGGGTGACTGGTGCTGGCGACACACCCCAATATTTTTTCCAGAGAAGAACCACCCGTTTATAGCTTCTACGTGTCGTGCGGATATCGACAGATTCTGTGTCATCATATTATAAACCATTTTTTTAGTTTACCCGTCATTATTGTTTGGAATTCAACTTGAATAATGCTATCCGGCTTCGCTGCCAAAACTATATCATAACTTATTCTCTTGCTGTCAAGATAAAATAATATAAAACATAATATTTAAACATACTCAGAGTTATGTGTCTTCAGGGATTCAATACGGACGAAACACTTATTTTTTTTAGACTGAATTTTGCCGAATACTTTCCACCCATGCTACCTACGTACAAGCACGGTCGAAAGGCACAATGATTCAAGTTTGTCGACGGCCCGAGTGAGTGGGTTCAAAACACAGTCAGCAGGCGCACGCGTGATAATAAAATAAATGCGATATTTACTATATGGGGCCGCCGTCTTGAATGTGGCATAAAACTAAACAAGAGACAAGTTGTGAAACGCGTTTTTCAGATGTCTACATACTAAATACGATACGTTGGGGTGATATTAAGCCAACCGAGAACAAAATTTGGCCGAATTCGTCGTTTTTGTGTGGAAAAGTCCCTTAAATACGAACACCTAATTACACGATAAACATATAACACTATCCCGGGGTATTTTAAACCGAAACTGTCATCTAACTGTAAGGCCATCGCTGATTGGCTGCTGAGCTGGAATGACAATTTTTGGTTTCAAATACCTCAAAAATTGTATTCAAAAACTGTAGCTAATAAGAAGTTATGTTCATTTGTTAAAAAATTATCAAATAATTCTTAAAAATGAAAAAGACAATATGTTGCACATTTTGTCATTCAAAGGGTTGTTCGAATACATTATTTGAGTCGCACATCATAATATCGATCATTGACGTTCATAAATTACATTTGCGCCATTTATTTCATATTTGATAATCATCTCAATTTTGACAGGGCAGAACTCGGCGGGAATAATACCCACATCGCACTACATTACCGAGTGAAATGCACAAGTTGACTGAAATTGTGACATCTCACTCGTAACCGCGGGTTCGTGACCCTTGTATATACCCTACAGTACGTCATTAAAATATATTGTATACGTCACATTGAACCCATATCGAAATGACATGGCGTGGCGGTCATAACCCTTTAAAAATATAACATGATGGAGAACATGTAATTTTAATAAATATTGTTTTCTAATTGTTACACTGCATTTTGATGAATAAATTGCATAATAATTTATCGTGATCCATAAAACGCTATTCTTGTAGCGTAAATCAAATTACTCGCTCAATGACAACAATTAAGTTCTTTAATACACATATGTATTAGTCGTTTTAATACGTGCAATAACAATAGTGTTATGATATCGACTTCACGTTTGCACATTCGGTTCACACGCCGTTGCACGGCTGTTTAGAATCAACAATTTATGTGTTTTAGGGTGGAGATTATAAACATATATTACAGGAATTTAATAAACAGATTTTTGACTTATTGTATTTAGTAGTGGCAACTTTGCAAACCATGAGACACATTCATGGAAATCACGTGATCGTGCCAACATACATATTTTCATAATTTACTTGTATTTATTTGTTTATTGATTGATTTCTCTGTAATACTTACAATTTATGGCGAATAAATAAATATTATTACTCTGCCATGCCACGAGACTTGACTTTTAAAGGGTGGTAGTCGTCGCGTCACGCATGCGCGAGATTTATGGGTCTCATATAAGCAAAAATGGCGACTTTGCTTGTTGTGCAGATCAACGAGTACAAACTGAGACAGTACCAAGCTTTAATTAGGTATGTATTAGGTGGTTGGAAGGTATCGAAGGAGTCACCGGCGGTAATTAGTGCAAGTCGCGCCCCAGTCAAACCCCATACTTATTATTTGTATTAGAAGAGCGCATTGGATTGTGGGAAAATCAATGTTTATCAATACAAATGTCGCACATGCGCAGCGCGACGGCTGCTGCCCTTTAAGATAGAGAGTTTGTAACTTTGTGTGAGAGAGAGGGAGACTGAGAGAAATGGGTGAATAAAGCTGGACTATCTGTAATGAACTAATGTGCATTCCTTTGGGTCGAGTCTGGTATCCATACCCGTAAGTGCTAACAGTCAAGTTAGACCAAGTTCCCCGGGCACGAAACTCCTGTTCATAACAGCAGTACAAGCGTATGTAATGTTTTCCATTTTCCGTCATAAAAATAAGATGTGCTGCAAAATCAACATTTCTGGTTATGATGCGTGTTTAGTCCATACTGCGTCCAACTCTGAGTATTTTGTTTGATATTATTGTATCCTGGTATCAAGACTACACTCTGTGTGATTTATGGGAAAATAAAGACATAGTGTTGTAACCGAGCATGGGATTGACGGAAATTTCTGCTTCAGACTAAACTAAAAACGCGTACGGTATCAACAGATATTCAACTGATTCATGGTGTAGTTAATTTAAATACTTTCTTTTGAAGGTGATGAATCCAATTATCTAGAGTGAGAAAATCATTTCCCACATAATAGGTCACTCATTATATTCTACTTTCCGTTCTATATCTGTGTTGTCGTGGGGGTGTGCATATTTAAAATTTATGTACGGATCTTTTGACGTGGCATTGACCCCGATGGCTCTATGTTGTTGGTGTGACCTCTGTCTCTTCTGTTTTTAAAAGGACAATATATAGATAGATTTCATTGATAAATACACACTTTCTTAATAATGAAATAATGCTACTGCCTTTCACGTTGACAATGGCTTCGTATGTTATTTGCGTAAAAACGAGTGTAATTTTCTGTATTATTTTTTTTTATGTATAAAACAACACACGCTCAATGAGATTAAACCAGTATTGAATTTTCAAAGAGGCGGGTATGCCATCAACAGCTATCTGTGGCACCGGGCTATAGATACATGATTAACTTCCGGACATTGTACTCTGATACGCTGCGAGTGGTGTGGTGTCACGTGACGTCGCTTATTTGCATAATCAAAGTGCTTTCAAGGACGTAGATTTCGGTCGCAAGTTACTACTAGTTGACTTGAACTATCGGCGGCGCACGATTGCATAGAGCAGAGCGGATCGTCTGACTACCGTGCACTGAATATGGACCCACTACTCACCGGTACCGACTACAACACACAGTTTAACGCAAAACTGTACTTGGAAGAGTGCTATACGACACCAGAAGGGAACCCCGAAGAAGAGGGTGTCCTTCCGTTCATGCTGGATGGTCTACACCAAGTGTTCACGGAAGGTAAGAGGTCACCGAGAGTTGTCAAGCGGTAAATTGTACAGTGGTACACTGTAAGCCGTGATCCAGTCGTATAACTATTCCATTATAACTTGGCCGTTATGCGTGTGTGATGGCAACAAGTCGATCGTCTTTAGACACTGTCTTTATTGTCACTGAGTGTTGCGTGGAACGTAATTTAGCGGATACGCCCACCCAACAGACAAGTCATGACAGCGTTAGCTGGCGTTTCTTGCCGACTATGTCGTCACCCCGATCACATTTCCCCCCGACATTTGTATATAAACGTGCGTATATGTACTGGCAGGACCCTTGATTCAGACACAATAACACGAACAAAAACAATATGGCTTCGACTGTGGCCTACTTTTTAACGCTATCGACCAGGCTCCGCTTAATACGTGGAGGTAAATCAATATATGTATTGTACTTCCAAGGTTATGATGAGTAGACCTATTGTGCTATACATTGACACGTTGTATTTCGATGTAATTTCCAAAGTGAATACCATAAGCGTGTGAATGCGTGCACTTGACGACCAATGTAAATTCTATTTATGGATTTTGTAGCATTTGATGTAATTCTATCTATGTGGTTGTATAAATATTGCCGATAACGAGCCGCTGTTGAATCAAACACACTAGAAAAAAAAAGACGTGCAACTGCGCCAAAGATCTTTTTCCAGTGTCTTTGGTTGAATTTAACACAAATGAGTTGGTCCTTATTATATATACAATGTATTAACATTCAGCCGTATTTTAATTAAAGAGTAATTTTGTATATATACTGATTTTGTTTTTGTCACACTCGAACCATACATTTGTGCGCAATTTAAATGTTTAGCAATCCAATCGCATTGTGTATATGGTTTGATGTAGGTATAGGCTATGTTACTAAGCGACCGTGATTTGATACAGAAAGAAGGACAATGGATGGTTCGTAAACGTGTCGGGGCAGTTAGATATCGGAACTGTGCGCCGTAAATTTGTCACATGACGAAATGGTCAGTAAAATGTTCAACAATTTCTTTCATTTTCGCTGAATGTAAACAACCTAAAACACGGAGGCGGCGCTACCTTACTAGAGAGTCCGGGGGCATGCCCCTTTATAACAATTGTGAAATATAGACCCTCTGAAACGCTATTTCGTGCATTTTGAAAGGCAAATTTTGCTCACACAAAGGGTTTCAGCTTGATTTAGGAAGAGCGACGCCCCCAACATTTTTTTTCGATGGGGCGACCGTCCCCTCCCCAGTGCCGCTACCACTGGAACATATCATTTTTCTAAGCCCGGGTCGATGTTATGAGCTACCGAGACTCGCGTGATGTCTTCCTGTTTACGTAGTCTCGTAATGGATCTGCATTAATTCAGTACATATAGCTGAGATAAAAACTATTAAAATCGACACAAGTTCTTCGATATTCAAAATCACTGGTACACTACAAAACAAATGACAAAATTATGTAAAGGGAAATATAGATTTTTCGCAAAATTTAGTGATGTGTGCATTTTCGCATTTTGTCTATATCGGAGAGATTTAGGGGGTCTGCGGGTACAGCGCTACACCGACGAGTTGTCTGCGGTTCATGTATTCACTTCACTCAGTGTAGGTGTCTCTTGTTTGTACGCAGGTGGTGTCTCTGGTGACAGATTAATTGACATTGGCAGTGGTCCATGTATTTATCAGTTCATCTCAGCATGTACCAAGTTCAACGAAATAGTCACGAGCGACTACGTGGAAGAAAACCGAATCGCCATCAAACAATGGCTTGGGAACGAGGTTGGCGCTTTTGACTGGCAGCCAATCATTCAACATGTCTGTGAAATGGAGAAGAGGGGGTATGTAACCGCTGTTTTAATTGCATACACAACAGGTTGTCTATGGTCACCATGCACTTATTCAATAAAATAATTACATTCACTCAATGTTATGTTTTGTGGGATTTTAACTTCAAAGTGTAAGCTCCAAAGGAAAGTTTCAAATTTTGTTATTTCATATTATAAGCAGTATATTAATTAAACTGATAATAATTTGTAGTTTCCATCTTTTTTCTAGTGACACGACAATTGCCCGTACAAATAGAATTCGCGAGGTCGTCAAAGACGTGGTTCGGTGTGATGTTCTTGAATCAAATCCGTTGGAACCCCTAACTTACCCCCAATTCGATTGTCTCCTGACTTGCCTTTGCCTTGAAGCTGCGTGCCAAACGAAAGACCAATATATGAATGCCCTTAGAAATATCACCGGCCTTCTCAAAAGCGGTGGAACCATTGTCCAAATTTGCGAACCCATAAATTACTACAGTGTCGGCGAAAAGCGATTTGCTGGTCTCATGGTTGATAAAGAGTTCGTACAGTCGGCGTTGAAGAAGGTGGGATTTACGGACCTCAAATGCCACCAACGGCAAAGATCTGCTGTCAACGTCAAGGACATTAGTTATGAGTTCACCATGATTATAACGGCAAAAAAGAAGTAGAGGTTACTATAGCAGCGAATGTGCATTAAAGGGCCGTGGTCGTTGTTTGTTTATTTACATGAAATTCGAACACACGCTGCACGACGACCACCGCGCTTTAAGTTAAAAGATTTTAAATTGTGCCCTGACCAATTAAAAACTAAAATAGATTGTTAAAATTGTGTTGTACAAACCTTCACATGTTGGGTAAATATGCGCACAGTCGTAATAAATACAGCTACGGGATTGGAAAGATACCCGCCTTGTCAATAGCCGAACATTACCGAGCACCGTAGCTTCGGTTGTGATCGAGTTTTCAGCATCTCAGGTGTCATCAAGTCATCGAATCGCACATTTGATTCTCTGTTAATAATTTTAACACGATTAAATGGACTATATTACATATTCAGTGTTCGTAGTGAAGCATTTTTCATTGATATTGGCATTTAGATTAAACATTTCGAGTAATATGTGCACTTTAATGAGAGTGACAGCTAATATTCGCAAGATGTCTGCCATGCCAATAGCCGAACACCACCGAGTAGTTCCGTGGATTCGGTTATTGTTGCGTTTTGACCGTCTTAAATTGTTTATATTATTTTATTTTACTGGTATTTTATTTGACCCTATTATTTATTTGTTGCATGCAAGCGAACTTTGACCATAGAGCATTACGTACTCCCTAGGCGACTTGTATTTAGCAGGTACCCGTAGCAGAATTTGAACAGCAGTACGTGATAGAATTTATTGTGTTGAAGACAAATATAACAGCGCAATATGTCAGCTTCCGTTCAGTATAACTTGCGAACGCCGTAACTTTCAGCTTCGATTTTGGACAGGTCACGCAAAATTCACAACTTTAATAAGTTCATTTTTAGCCCCGCTGTCGACTTTGTCGAGCGGAGCTTATCATATGAGTGATTGTCCGTCGTCCGTGTAAATGTTTTACTTCTTCGACTTCTTCTTGAAAACTACGAGCCTGAATGCTTTGATACTTGGTGTATATGTACCTTGGGTAGACCTCTCTCAGATTTGTTCATTTTGTAATGATATCTTTAATTCTCTAATTTTGGTGAATATTTTTGTAATTTTTGGTAAAAAGTGATATTTTCGACTTCTTGTTAAAAACCGCAAGTCCAATTGCTTTGATATTACACATATATGTACTACATGTGGACCTCTCTCAGATTTGTTCATTTTGTAATGATATCTTTAATTCTCTAATTTTGGTGAATATTTTTGTCATTTTTAGTAAAAAGTGATATTTTCGACTTCTTGTTAAAAACCGCAAGTCTAATTGCTTTGTTATTACATATATAGGCACTACATGTGGACCTCTTTCAAATTTGTTAATTTCGTGGTGATATCTTCAATTATCTAATTTTAATGATTATTTTTGGTGAAAAGTGATAGTTTTGAAGTCCTGTTGCTTTGATACTATACATATTTTTCATTTTCTAATGATATCTTCTGTTCTTTAATTGCAATATGCATTGCTAACAGCGGAACTATCTCAGCCGACAGGCTGCTTGTTTAAATATAATATTGCATGGACATTTACTACACGACTTTTATCTGCAGGAAACAGTATATTCTAATTTGGCACATTTTTTAATGTGGCGCATTTATCCACAGTAGCGAACTAAGTCAAAATAAAAGTCATTAGATAATTAAGCCAATAGGCCTGTATAGTTACTAGTCTTGTTTGCAGACCACTTATCAATTTTTAGTGGTTTGATGTGCGTGACGTCCATGGGTTGAATTTTGCTAACATTGATGCTATAACTTCTGAAAATGTGCCTGCTATACTATATAAATATATCAACGAACTACAAGTATAAATAGCATATATATCGCAATATCTAATGTATCTTATTAGCTATGTAATGCGTGGTGCCAATAAATCATCATTGTGCCTTATTACTAAGTAGATTGATAAATGTAAGTCAAAGAGATAATTATCTATTATAGTGACACCGTTGCTATGACAACACGCCAAAGGGACTGATTAGTCAATTTAAAGAGAAAAGACTGTACATTACACGTGAAAGCCGATGTTGCATCTTATATACTTAAATAAAGAATAATACAGAAAATACATATGATTGACTGAGCGATATATATATGAATATTTGTGTATGGAGGTTTTTTTAGTACGTCGTTGTTACGTAGTTAGCGGTACCTTTGCTAAAGTCTTGTATCGGAAATACAAATGTGTAGCTCTATAATCTATGGTACCCTTGTGCATTACTTTAAATGAGTTGTATCATGATATGCATAAACGGTATTTGTACATGTAAACGTCGTGTAATAAGTATAATTTGTATTACGATGCACAAATTGTATATGCTAAATTTAATAAACATAAGTATGTGTATGTACGAGACGCAATGATATGTATAAAATCATGTATACATGTATGTCATGTATTGAATACCACCGTAGTATATTTTATGTAATGTACGAGTTGTATAATGATGTGTACAAGTTATATGCGCAAGACTTATAATATATACAAAGTGTGTATATATATGTACAAGTTGTATAATATGTATATGTTGTAGGTATGTACAATACATATGATGATATTGATAAATTGTATATATATGTAACAGTTGTACAATGATTATGTATAAATTGTATGTATATACGCAAGTCGTATATTGTTATGATTATTTAATTTCGCTTTAATGTAATGCTTATGTAGCTATTGAAACCTAGGGCCTATCAAATGTTCGTCTACCGTCTACGACTGCTGCATTCGAAGCTATTTCCGATCTTGACCCGGCCCATTGTGCCAAAGACTTCATAAAAACAGGGCTAGGAGATATTTGTGATTATTTTGTATTTAACGAATGTTTTATTTTGATATATGACAGTAGTTATACCTTATTAAGTATCAGTGGCGGATCGAAGAGGTATCAAGAGGGCAAGACACCCTCCCGGGGGGACTTACCTACGATGTGGGTTGGAGTGCTCCACAGTCAGCTGAAAAATAAACCAAAATATCGACATTGAGGGCGTTGTTCACAAAAAATGGCCTAAATTATTCGGCTCAAAAAACCGACTCGACCGTAGAAATTGGGATCAGGAAAGCGGCACAAGTTCTAATATTTATACTTAAATATTCATAATAACAGATGTAAGAGATTTGTTGATAAGTTCTCTATTATTTCTGTAAACATGTAATATACTACGATATACTATGTATGTTACTAACTCAATATTACCTTGTCTCTATATTCTATGAATGCCTCCGCCTATATCCAAAATAACAAAAATTTAAATAAAGGCCAATATGCAAATTCAGTATTGATAACAATGTTGGTTGTCAATTTTTATCACCCTTTTGAGTATCTTTTATTAATCAAATGACGGAGCTCAGATTTTTTAGGAATAATTAGATACATCTATGGATTCTATGAAGGCTATAAAAAGTTCATTTTCATTAAAAAGTTCTTTACTATATTCTCACAACTTTCTGGTGAAGCTAATTTTACTTCGTATAGCAGATATAATTTGACAGTTTTCCCCCATTCTAAGAGAGTACCTGGCTCAAAACATACTGCATTTGATCTGCAATCAAAGACTGCAACATACAAAGCTCCAGTGAATGCAGAAGGACATTAGCTATGCTTTGAGAATTGTTGATAATTTTAACACAATCTAATGCATAATGACTTTTTTTTCAAATATTCAATCTACTTGGGTTATTCTTATTCTGTGTTATTTTATATAAGCGTGACATTCCCACGTACTTGTCTTGTCTCGTATTCAAGCTGATACTGTAAAAGGATTAATTATTCACTGGGTTTTAATTTTGCTTATTTGCTTATTTATTTTTGCTTATTTTTACAGTATTAAGAATGTAGTAGTTTGTTTCAAGTTTATGGTTTCATATATACACAAGACATGCTAATATAATTGTGAATTTGCTAATTGTATAGGCATTTATCATGAATTTAACAATCATAAATGGTCAGTTTTGATGTTTAACAAACATGCGTTGTATCGTATCATAAATTCCATATTGACAACCAATAATGATCATCCACTGGGAAGTAACAACTGAAATGGAAATAGGTAGCAGGTTACACATCCAATATGTTATGGCCCACAAACAAAATGTTGGCATATCTTGTTGAATCTAGAACTAGAACAATATCTGACACTTAAGTCAAAATTTGAATTCTCGTCTTTCATCTTGCCCAAACATATGGCTGATTGTCCTAATGTATTTGCAGGCAAACGAATTATGGCGCTCTGCGCAGGATTCGAATTGGCGATCACTCCAAGATCCTCGCTACAGCAAGCGGGCGTGCTATCAACTCCTCCCTGACTGTCGACATTTACGCATATTGAGCCCGATCCCACAGTGGCCAGTTTACGTGTCTAGACGTATTTACGTAATTTGTATGTTTGAAAATCAGGACTGTAGACAAAAGTCTGCCGATAGGAAACAATATTTTGAAGCAAAGTATGTAATCAGTCGCGTAATCTTACAACATCCTGGTTGTTTAACAATGTAAATGTAACTGTGGATATAATAATACAGATGAAACTTTTTTCTCGGAGTCTGACGATTGTTTTAATGAAATCAAGTAATTTTCTATGAGTTGAGAATACTGCCAAAATTAGCTTGGTGTCATGATTTGAACATTGTGTAATTGCTACAATATTATTTTGTCATTATATTACAATAGCGTCATTATTTAGATAATATCTTGACATTCAATTGTCATACGATTTGGTTATTTTCACGTCCAAATGTCTTGACATTCGGTTCGCTTGACTTTCGATTATCTCAACATTTGATTACCTGACCTACATTAACTGACCCCGATTTAGATGTAATATTCAGTCCATGGTCCCGGACGACTGCCTCAAATGAAGCATTGTAGAGGATGGCAATGCAAGCCTTGTAAAAGTTTGAGAAATTTCGTTTCACCAACATCCACGGAAATGACCAAGGCCGTCAGAGCCTTTCGGGACGCACTATCAAATGCCGCGAACTTGTTGGTACGATCGCGTTCCTACTTGATCCGACTTACATGTAAGAGTATCAGTGGCACTCGACGCATCATCGTCGCGGTGGTTATAAATGCCGACATTTAAATACTACTTACGTACATTTGTTATATTATGTTTACATATATTTTGTTGTTGTAATTATCCTATGTGAATGTTTTTACACGGAGGCAAATAAGTTATTATTTACCTCGTGTTATGGGCAGAGTACATATAGTCGACGTCTGCGCTTATCTCTTGTTTATTTGTATAGTTACTGATCTAAGCTGTGAAAAGTGAAATAAACAATTTGTTTGTGGTGCCGATGCAGCTTGTTGAAATCCGAAATCAATTCAGGTATATGCAGTTCCACAGTGGCAGTTCCTTCTAGAGTGACTCGATCTATGTTGCACTATTCAATAAATATATTCACAAACATAAACCATATAAAGTAATAAAATATATTATTTATTGTCAAATAAAATATACTATACTATATATATTTTCGTCTTTATTTTGTTCTGTAATTCCAAACCTGGCCTCTTAACGATCGGTTGTTGTCCATCCTCGGCAGGCTTGCAATGGCTTCCTCAAGATTGCTTACTAACTAAG